ATACTGTTCATATTGTATATACTATATACCAAATCCACCTACCTCAAGTACATACACCGGCACATAATACTTATTTATTCCAACATCCTTTGCACCCTACTCTATCGCACCTGTGTACCTGTATATCTCATCCATCTCTGACATGTACATAATAATAATAATAATAATAATGGTAATGATAATTTACTCCTGCATCCTTTGCACTCTGCTCATTGCACTGTCTCAATCTGTCTATATTTATAGAGTGTATATATGTGTTCTCTTTACTGTAGCCTGTGTCTGATTTTATTATTGTTCTCTCACCGGACGTATAGTAAGTATAAAAAGTTAGCTTAGCAATGTCGCTAATCATTTCAGCTAACTTGCGTCACTACCCTGGTAAAAAAAAAAAGACTATTTATCCACAGTGGAGAGTTGAGGGAACTTAGTTCTGGTGAAAAACACAGGGTGGAAATTGTTTGACCTAGATATTGAACACTTTACCTCCGTGAAGAAGAAAATTTGAACAACATTCATCTTCAAATATGTGAGTATACATCTTTCTGTTTCTGTTTGTTTCCTGGATGTAAAATGCTCTGATATGCTTATTTCTAACTGACTAGCTTTAGCTTACTAGCCTGTTAGCTAGCTGTTTAGGTTGCTGTTAAAATGTTTGTTTGTCTGGACACTGAAGTTGTTGTGACCACAGGACTCTGTATGTAACTCCATGACTTGGTCACCGGTAACTGCATCGTTAATGTCAGGTGAAAATTCAAAAATTATTTTTGAACCCTGTTAGCCAAACAGTACATTGACAAGTTAACTATGTAGCGTTCAGCGGCCACTAGCGGTGCGGTTTTAAGACCAGGTGTGTCTTTGCACGCGTGCTCGGTTGAACTCATCATGAAATGACAACGGTCTGGGATGGCTCTTCCTCTGTGTTGTTGTTGCCGTTTTGCTGCAGTATTGTATATTATGAGGGTCACGTTAGTTACTGCGACTGAGAGCTGAAGAAGCCGTTTACCTGAGTATCGGTAAAACCACAATAAATCTAAATTGAACGTTTTGAAGCAAACAGCGGTAGATCCGTGCTAAAGTAGCTGGCTGCTCATGCCTTACATCACTAATAGGCTAGTAAACAAATCGCTCCACATTTGCTTTGTACCGTTAAAATTCTTTATTGCAGGCTAAATCAACACTTTGACGTAATACCGCTGGTACATGAGATAGTAACATGGGTTGCGTTAGCTGGTGAAGTAATGTGGAAAGCCATAAGGTTAGCAACTGTTTGGCATTAGCTGCCGAACTAACGTGACACTCTCGTGACTCCAGCCTTTCTGATGTTCACTGTTTTCACTGACATCATCTGAATCAGTTTGGTCTGATGGGCTTCAGGGCATAAAACTTTATTGTTGTTTTTCTCATACGTGGGGTCTGTGTTGTGCTGGGTGCCGGTTGTTTTGTGGTGTTAGTGGACTGTATGTCGTTAACTGTGTTTTTGTTACTGTAGTCGGAGAGAGGCTCTGCGCCAGAGACATTTTAGAGGAGACACACTGCTCAATCACATTCTCAATACAACTCTATGAGGAAAGCACGTAACGGGTAAGATGGCGGTTATCCTGCCCCTCCCGCTAGAAAGCCAATCGTCTGCTTTAAACAGCCAAGCAGGAAACATATTTCAGCCAATCGTGTGGTTCCACTGACGTAAGGGTCTGTTTTACTTCTACTGCGCATGCGCTTTTTAAACCTTATTTTGGGGCAAAGTAGTCAAAGTTTTTCAGCGATTTTTATCAGATTCTGATTCTATTCATGTAGTTTTTATGTCCCGGTGACCTGTATAAGTGCAGATCTGGCTCTCTCCCCATCCATTCAAATAGGAGCCTGGTCTTGTTAGGTTGAAATAGCTGGCCGGAGGCGTTGCCAAGATGGGGGCCGAGTGGCATGACTTGCCTAAAAGGACTGTCTGCGTGCACAGGACTACATCCCGACCCTGTCTTCACATTAAAAGCATGTGCTTCATTTCTAACTGAGGTTTGAGGCCGTTGACAATAAGGCAGATTTATTTATTTATTTTCCTCCCGGAGTTCCGACAACTCTGCCTCTGTTGGTTGGGATTGTTTAAGGATAGGGTTAGGGTTAGCCAATCATAGGCAAAGTTGGGGCCAGGTTGCTAAACCAACGTTTGGTGCTGTACTCATCTTCTGACACCCATCTGGCTTTTCATCCAGCGAGCCTGCACAGACGAGTGTTAAGATTAATTGTGTGACCCATCAGATTCTGTGACCTGATTTGCCACAGCCAAAAACAAAACAAAATCGAACTTAATACTGTGCAGCTAAAAACATGTTTTAAATATTTTTTTAATAATAAATGTAGTATTAAGTATTATTCTTTACTTTTGCAGGATTTGTTTTTATTTTGTTGTACAATGTTAATTGTTATGCTCCAAAATGCCAAGGCACATTTCTTGTATTTGGCAATAAACCTGATTTTTGTTTCTGATAATACTTAAATTCTGATAAATGTAACAAAAAATGTATTCCCTATTAGTTAACATATTGATCGCACAGGTCTGTGTGTAGAGCACAAACATCTAACCTGATAAGATTTGGTTTGGTCTTTTCATATACTGTAATTGATCCTCCAATGTCAGGTAGTGGAGTGTAAGTACATTTACTCCAGTACTGTATACTTTTTAGGTACTTTACTGAACTATTTCCATTTTATGCTACTTTCTACAAACATTGTACTTTGTACTCCAATACATGTATTTGACAGCTTTATTTTCTAGTTTCATTGCATATTTAGATTATTAATACAAAATCATACATCCAGCTGTAATTAAAATGAGCACCACCTTTACCAGCTGCAACAACTGGTTATTATAACCAATAATATAATATAGATTATTCTGAAATGGGCTATTCTGCATAATTTGTACTTTTGGTATATTAGCATATTTTTATTCTGGCATTTTAACTTTTACTTGTAACAGAGTAATTTTATACTGTGGTATTCCTACTTTTGCAAACATCTGAATACTTCTTCAATCGCTGCCACTGTGATTTTCCGGTGGAAACGAGGTAGTGGAGATTGTTTTGTAACTAGAGGAGCTGATAGCAAGACTTTATTTCCTAAAGTTACTCCAACACAACAAACTCTTCTCCTTCGTTTCCGTGTTTGTCTTCCTGCAAAAACTCACCTCTCACGAGATTTCAGAGCGAGAACTGTCCTTGAGCAAGACTTCACTCGTAGGGATCCTTTCCATGATGTTGTCAGACACCTTTTTGTGGACGTCATTTTGACGGACGCAGTTGCCCCAAAAAACAAAATGATCTTTAAAAGACAAATCATTATATTCAATTATTCAGGCCTTTTCATGTTGACTTTAGATGTTTCAGTGTTTCAGTGTAGGGTCTAACTAAAGCACTACTCCTCAGATAAAACATGTCAAAAAGTAAAAACTACCTGAATGCACCTTTTGATTTTTCAAATATTTTAAGTGAGGTCTCATTCAGGTGATATTGGAAATCTTCTGACAGTAAAAGCTACATTAGTTTAACGTAAGCTGACAAATCCATTTTTATTGTATACTGGATGAAAAGCTGTCCTTAGTCGATGGTGCCTCTTTTTTTTTCAGATGTTAATGCTGTGAGATTACACAACAGTAAAACACAGGCTGCCTCGTTCTAATCACTCACTTGAATTGATTGAAATCACAAAATGCAGCACTTAACTGACTGAGAGGTCAGCTGAGTGCACGTTCACCTGAAACATGTAAGGCTTCAGGACTGGATCTCTGTGCCTAACCTCAGTTTTTAAATCCATCTGAAAGTCAGTTTTAAGGCTGCCTTTGTTTTCATTATTGATTTATTTTGCAGATTAATTTCTCGATTCAATAACTTGATCTGTAAAATGTCAGAAACTTGTCCAAAGGGACGTCTTTTTGTTTCACCAACAGTCCAAAAACTCCAAAGATATTCAATTAGCCGTCATAAAAAAAATATGAAAAAGCCGCAAATATTCAAATTTCAGAGGACGGAGCTGCAGAATTGAGTCATGTTGCTTCACAGATTCTTCTGATATTTTCATGTGAACTAGCTTTAGTTTACTGTAGTGACCTCGTGTTTGTTTGTTGTCGTTTTCTTTTCACCATGTCCCTCCATGCCCTCGCTGCTGGTCCAGTTTATTTTGCAAGATTTGAGATTATTGTGGTATTTTCCGCTTTCCTGACCCCCTGGGATACACCTGTTGCATGAAGCAAGATTAGCGGCCTTGATACATTATCTTTATCTTTGTTAAATCAGAAAACTGGCTCACTTTTACCTGGGAAAGGTCTTCATGCTTTGGGGCTAAAACAATAGGTCCATTGGAAGAAAATGAACTAATCTGTTTACTTTTAATGATTTAAGCAAAAACAGCAACGAGCAGCCAGTTAATGTTTGCATCGATCAGGCATTGTTTGCTTCGTAACCTTCAATTTAGAGTTATTGTTGAGATTTATTGTCGTTTTACTGACACTCGGGTAAACATCTTCTTCGTTTCTGTCTCAGTTGCTGTAATTCAAAGTAACGTTCCATACAGCCCAACTGTTATACTGAAATGTGGCAATAGTCTCATTTGTTATTCATTGAGCTTCCAGCATGTTGTGTGATGCCGCCTATTTTGGCCAATGCCGAGTGCTTGCTCATGGGTTTGAGCATGCACTGGAGCACACGCTTGGAAACATAGTGGCTGTAGTCTGAAACCTTACCGCTAGAAGCCACTGAAAACTACACATGGCCCCTTTAACCAGAAACACTATATTGCTCTTGTCATGCAAGTCATTTTAACTCTTTTGTCTACCGCTACCTCGATCGGTGAAGTTTGTTTGTGTTATTGTTTGAAGTTGGTTTATTTTTTTTTTTCCCCTTTAAACCCAAAGTCATACAATAACACAAATAAAAAAGTCACACAACAAATCAAACACACAAAATCACCAAAGTCACAGAAAAGGAAATAAAAGAAGAGCCACTCCAAGGTTAATTTTTCCAACACATAAAAGGAATATATTTAAAAAAATTGTTCATACTGAAGAACCCTTATCATTGCAGAGTCATTTACACAAGGGGCAGTTGTATGTCAGTCTGTCATTGTCATATACATGGTCATTCAGATGCACACACTGCCTCCTCTTCCCTCGCAAAGTAGTCCCCTTTGCAGAATTGTACACTTCCATTGCAGACAAGTAAACACAGTTTCAGAATAAAAATCAGCATTTCACCTCATTTGATTTTTAAACTGGATTGAAACACTAATACTTCTTGGACATCACATTTCTGAAATGGCAAATGAGGAATTAGGTGAATTCTTTTTTTCTGTGTATGACAAATCAAAAAGAGAAACAAATCAACTTTTATTAGATTTTCTTTTTTACAAACACATCTCACTACATGGTTGATATTTTTTTTTTTGAAATTTATAAATCTGTGTGGTTTAGAAATGTCACCCGAAATGCAAAGGATGTGCATAGGTGTCAAGTCAACGTCCGGCTCCGTCGCTGTTTATTTTTCCTGCCTCCCCCCCCTTTCTTGCTTCACTTGGAGTCCAAACTTTTTTATTTTTTGTCGTCATGTCTTTCTCGGAGGTTCACAGAGGGACACGGGGGAACACTGACTGACTGACAGCATGGAAGCTTGCAAATGTCCACATGCATGATAACCTCATTCAAATCTAAAACATTTATGGATTTATTTAGAAGAGACAGTACCTGGTTGGTAGGTCGGTAGGTAGAAAGGTGCATATAGTGATACTGTACCGAACAATAGGATGGAGTCATGAGAGGATGAAGGTTAGAAAATAACAGGAATGAATAAATAATGAGGGCTGGCGCTGTGATCTACCGATGAGAAGACATTGCAGTGTGTTTGTGTGCTTTTACGTCCGTCTGCTGATAGACAGAATACCCACTGACAGTGTCTCTCTGCAGATGGTTTTGGTACTACAACACCCAACACGACTACAAGGTGATGGAGGGTTGTTTTTGTTGGTGGTGGTGGGGATGTGGACTGCTAGCGGTGCTCCAACATGGCAGGACGGGACGCAGTACTGTCTCTTTAAAACAAACATCTACAGAAATGTCGCCTCCTAGCTAGTACAGACATGACAATATTCACTTTTTGTTTACTCTGTTTTTGTACAACACTATGACTAGGTCATCTTGAAGGGGCAGGAGTCCGTTAATTGCCCCGCTGCAGGTAGTTTGTGCAGCGTTCAGGAGGATTTCGGTTGAATGCTGTGGTCACAGTACGCTGAGTTTCTTTTTTTCTTCGATCAAGTGCAGTGTGGAGAGAGGTTTCCCGTCAGTTTTGTTAATTGTTTTTTTAAATTTATTCTTATTTTGTAGAGGGAATGATGGGAGTTTGGCCGAGGTGCTGTTGCTGGGAGGATGGGAGGAGGTCAGTAGACCCAGGACACGGGAACCCACTGACTGGTGGTGCACACTAGATCGATGGCCTCCTCCAGGTGTCTGATGGTCTCATCGATCTCATTGTTGATGATGGTCTGGTCGAAGTAGTGGGCGTAGGTCTTCTGCAGGATCTCCGACTCCTTCTGCAGCCGCTGGAGAGACTCGTCCTGGAGGAGGAGGAGGATGAGGAACAAAGGGTGTTAGACACTGATGAAGGCAGTGATGGAGGTGAGAGCACATACAGGACTGAAAGGGAAACTCTATAGGCCCCTACATACTGTGTGATTGAGCTATCCAAGACGAGAGCGAAACATGGTGAGATTAAAGAGAGAGAGGCAGAGGACAGCTAGAGGCAGAGCTACACTTTCTTACGTCATGTCCTAAATAAATTTCCCAAACTTTCCACAAATATATTCAAAAATCTCAAATCTAAACCCCCCTACTTACTGAGAGAAATGTCAAATAATTGCAACAAAATTTACAACCAGGTGAAAATACATCATGGTGTTGTTTGTATAAAATGACTGATATTATTATATTAATAATTGTCCCTTGGAGACATATTTAAACTAACTTTCTGCTATGGCAACAATGTTTACCTAAATATCCAGGCCAATAAAGTTTAATGAATTGAATTGAGAGGCAGATAGAATTTTTAGCCATTTTAAATACTAAACAAAATCTATATGACGTACTCAGTGTTGATACTGTTGCAGGTTGTCACATATAAATGAATGCAGGGGAAACACTGCCCTCTGGTTCCAGCTTGTAAGCCTTCTTTGTTTTTAAATTGCAGTTTAGATTTGATTGGACAAAAACAAACCCATTGACGATCGAGTACATTGCGCTCCCAACCCTGTGACCCATGTCTGCAAACCAACCAACAGGAACGCATAATGAAACAATGCAGAATACCTGAGCCAGTGTAGCTTATTTAAGAACAAGGTGAAAAAACAAGACGGATATAGTACAACAACTTTCAACCTGCAGGATGACTGTTACTGTGCAGTGTGTAAGGGCCTTTACTCAGCAGAGGAGGAAGTGAATGGAGAACTACACTAACCACTAGGACCATACAAGCAAGCATTTGGCGAGGATTACACACATACATAATTAAAAATAACGCTATGATCCCATCAGGTTTTTACTTACTGGCAGCGTTCGACACCACCTGGGCATCTGAGGGGAGCGCCAAAGAAAGAAATGCATGCAGCATGCAAAGATAAACGAGTGCAGAGAGGAATGAGAGAGGCAAACACACGAGTGAAGAGCTGATAGAAGGAGAGTCCAAGGTCCAAGTGCATGCTGGGAGATGGTAGCACTTCACAAACTGAACAGGCAGATTTAGAGATGAATTTGGGTTGATAATAAAAGAGGGAAAGTATCACTGGTCAGGTTGATTATGTGTGATTATGTTATAACTCGAGTTTAAGATGTGTCACATTAAATGGATTAAATGTGTAAAGGCCAATTTAAACTTCTGCGTTGAATCTCCGCAGTAGCCACGCCGTTTATACTTGTGTGGTTTAGCCTTCCACTAACTTGAATGGGGGCAAAATAGGTCTGAACCCTTAATTGAAATTATATCGCTACTGCACCTCGTAGGAGGTGCAATATTTGTTAAAGGTGATGTGGGTCAAAAACCACATTAAATATTGTGGTGCTGCAGTGATGTCCTGGCCAACATGCCATATTCTAAAGACCTAAGAAAACATGTGGTACAGATCCTTGCAAAAATCACACCATGAAAATGAGAAATAATACCAACTACATATCTTTTCAAAATCATTCAGCCCTAGGGGTAAAATGATAATCGTGCAGCTATGCTAGACTTTCTAAATGTTATCAGACCGACTGGATCAATTTCTGATGGTGAAATGACTTGTGTCACTGGGGTTGTGATCAGAAAAAAAAAAATTGTATCCACCATTTTACAGTCGCTTCTTTCAACAGTGTCTAGTGGGAAGTCTATGGGAAAATGTCTGGTTTGGCCATTAGTAGAATTGGCTTCAAACCATGGAACACTTCCGGGGGGGGCTTGGAGGAATTGCGATGCTGCCAAGCCGACCAATCACAGTCCTTGTGGTCTGCGTTACTGCACCGTTTAGTTAAATTTTTGGGGAGGTGCACGTCAGGCTAGGGTGTTAGGTACGCAGCTATGCTCGAGGTCTGCAAGCCCGCTGGGTCCTGACCTGAGTTGATTCGGGCAAGGCTTGGGACAATTATAGATCAAGGTTCAGGCTCATTTACCCTGCTCATATACGTGCAGAGCATTCATTGGCTACTGTATGAAAAACTGTTCTATTGATTATATTATAAATATTATACACAGGTACGTGTGCATTAGCATACATGCGACAGTGGATCATGCAACTCATCGGGGAGACATTGGATGAGAGAGCGCGCGTCACAGAGAGCTTAAAGTGATCTTTGTCTTGGCTTGGGTTAGGGCTGGAGTTTTTTTTCCCTCTAGGCTACAGCGTACCTACAGCATAGATTTGACACAGAAGTATAAACCGGCCCTAATGCAGATTACAGGTAAAACAATGAGTCTATCTGCAAGTGAGTCTTTCCAGCTTTTCCACCTATTCCCTGGTTTCAGCTTTTTAATGTGAGGATTTACTGCCGTTCTTTGTCACGAAAAGTATGTGAAAGTAAACTGAATAATTTAAAACAAGCAATTTGTATTTTTCACAATATTCTATTATTTCTCTGCATATCACTTACAAATATATTACATCTCTAACTCAAAGTAACCAGGTGATGTGATGTTAATTCATTATTCAGGTTTTTTTATGACAGTATTAGAACAGATATTTGGTTTGGTATTTGAATGTTAATGGATGAAGCTGGTCAGTCCGTCTCTCAGTGCTGTCTGACTTCCCTACGTTGCAGTGGCACTCAACTCCAAGCCCATTTTGTTTCCTTAACAGCTGGTAGTTTTTTAACAGCTATTTTCTAGTGCAGATAATCCACATGTGGTGCTCTGGTGAATATCTGGGGCAGCAGGCCGAATAAACTAGTGTGTGTGTGTTCATGGTGATGAAGGAACATGTCACCCAGTGAGCCTCACTGATGTGTTTAATAGTTTCTGGACAACAATGGAGCTCTATGGCTCAGAGGAAGAAGAGACATCGGCATTATCCTTAAAATGGTATTATCTTTAGTGTGTGTGTGTGTGTGTGTGTGTTTGGTGTTTTCCTACCTCATTGATGCCTGGTGTGATAGTTGGTGCAGCAATAAAGACGACGTAGGGGGCAAACTCTGCTGTCCGGAGGACCTTCAGGGCCTGATGGAGCACAGGTGTTAGAGGTCAATGTCCATATATGTATGCATGCATGCACACTCGCACCTACACAAACCTGAGGTTCAACGTCCAGTATAGCTATGAGTCCCTGTTGGTGGATCTTTCGGATGGTCTCCAGCCGCGTCCCGTACATGGCGTCCTCGTGGCTGCCGTACTCCAGGTACTCATTGTTGCTGATGTCCAGCATCATCTGATCGTGGGAAACAAAGTAGTAGTTCTTCCCGTTCTCCTCGTCCTTCTTTGGAGTTCTGGTTGTGTCTGTGGGACAGCAGGAGATACAGAGAGGATTTACATTTCCTAACATGTATGGTGATGTTAAAGGGTAATTTTCTGTACCAACTAACCGACCATGGCAGCAGGACACTAGCAACTCCAGTGTTCTGCGAGGTAAAATCACTGTTTTTATCAATGGAGTCTGGTGATTTTGATGAATGATACAGCGACTGTTTCTGGTTATTCTACTAAAAATATGTCTATCTCTGTAGGGATGATTGGCAGATACTTACAATAACAATCTGAGCCTGTCAGTGGCAAAACAAGAACTTTAGTGGACGCACTTTGACGGGGCGCAAGGACTACATTGCAGCCCTGTTTCACTGCTGTCAACTGCAGCGTGCATAAAAGACGCTGTCCCAATTAGTCATAGACACAAAAATACCTAAGTTACCCATTAAGTACATTTCTGTAGAGGACCTGGATGATTTATCTTACGTGGGATGGGGTAGGCGAATCTGTCGGGGTGTTTGGTTATGAGTGTGTTCTTGATGTGTCTTCTTCCCACTCCATGGGCACCTGGGAAAGACACACACAGTTAGCTGGTGAAGTCACTTATGGTGGCAGACGTATCCCACATGTGTTGCTGCTACACTTGTTGCAGAACTTACCTAACAAAACTAGTGTTTTCCTCTTGAAAGCAGGAAGCTTCACAACCTCTTCGTATGTGACCAGATCTAGTTGGTCGAACACTGGAAGTGACAGAGAGGGAGAAAGGGTGAGAGGATGCTGGGACAAACAGCAGTTAGAGGGCTCTACAGAGTGGAGGGTGGGGACAAGGTGGACTAAAGAGTCTTAAACACATCTGGTGATCTGTGGTGAAGAGGAAGTTGGGTCACTAGTCAAAACAAAAGCAGAATAAAAAAATCAACGAGCCTAAAGTAAAAACAGTGAGTGGAAAAGACAACAGGGGGGAGCTGAGGTGATCTGTGAAGTGATGACTCCTTTTAAAATAACCTCTGTGCTCTGAGATTAAATAAATCTGGCCAAGCAGTGATTCATCCAGCGAGAGAAGGGATCATGTGCTGATCAAACTCAGAAGACGGTGCTAGAAAACGAGTATTTAATGAAAGTATAATGGCTTCTGTTAGGGTAATCATCTGTGCCTGGTTGCATAAAGGGTGCCACAAGAAATAACTCCACTTTCTGCGTCAAGTCTGGCAGGACTGCAGGAAAAGTATTGATGACACTGCTGCTTATGTCTTTATGTGTGGTGGTAACAAGAACTATTTTGTGAAAAAGAGAACAAGAAGTCTAACTGGAAGAAAAAAAGTGTTGTTGGATGAATATTTCAAAAGAAAACCAGCTGAATAAATTAACTGATTAGTCACCTGACAGGTCATTTTTTGTTTCTTTGTGGAATAAAGCTAAAAACATGCCCATCACAGCTTCTCAAATGTGAATATTTTCTTCTCTTCGTCTCCTCTGAATTTAAAATCACGGAGTTTCTAGCTGTTTCCAGACTAAACAAGCAATTTGAATATCCCAGCTTGGGCTTTGATGATGGACACGTTTACAGTTATTATCCATTATCAAATAATCAAATAATTATTTTTACAAAATGTCAGAATAGTGAAAATTCATAACAATTTTCTTTTTCTTTAACACCTAAAACTTCAGTTTACTGTCAATATGACAAAGAAAAGCATAAAATCTTCACAATAGAAAACTGGAACCAGATATTTTGTTAGTGATTATCAAGATATTTTTGTTATTTATTTGATTTAATTCTTCTTATTCATTTAGATATTTCCATGATTTCCATGATTTAAGTTTAATTTGTTAAACTATTTCTTCTGAATAAATCATAAGGTAATGTATGTTCTAAAAGCTTTATGCAACAGTGCACAGATTTATCTTTTATCCCAACTTTAGTAACAGGAAAGTAAAGTATTTCTTCTATCATTAGAGTTAATGGTGGGTTAAACCTTCCAAACATTTCTGTGTGGAAAAACACAGAGCAGAATAAATGAGGGAAATTACAGGTTGTCTTGTTGTGCAGAGCATATCACATGTTCGAGCAGAGCTGTTCCCTGTACAATGTGTTCTCAGCCTCTGCAACATGAGACTCCATGAAGTCACCACCTCAGGCCGCTGACAAGCGAAATACAATACCCACAAGTCACTGGGTTCTCTTGTGCAACAGGCGGCTGCAGACCAGCAGCTGCTCATACGGAACAATTGCTAAGGTGAAAGGAAGATCGACCGAGTATGTTCGTTAACATCAGACTTACATTACTGTCTGGGTCTGCTGATGAGCACACTTGACCAAATTTAGAAATTCAAAATGGGTTTGGATGAACATCACAGCACACACAATGTCTGAAACACACAAACTAAACTACTACGGTTTCAATTTTGTGTCAGCCTTCTGTTGTTTTTCTGACCAACTCAACAGAAACAAAACCGAAACGCTGGCAGTGACAGCTGAGTTCATCTACAGGGTTAATAAAATAAATAGAAGAGAGAGAGTAAAAAAGTAAGAGAGAGAGAGAGGAGTTGGTTGCTGTCACTGGTTGTTACTTACATGCAGAGAGGCCGTTCGGTAGGAGAAAGCGAGAGAGATGAACAGGAGGGATCATAAGATGGTTCGGTTACAACAGCAGAATTACAAAACGTTACACACAAACAGCAAGATACAACAGCTGGGCAGCTGTGCGGCGCCGCACAGAGCCCACAATGGAGATGGAAATACACAATACACTGTTGTTGTTGCTGTTGAAGGGAATATTCACACCAACTAGAAATATGGCGCCGTGTGACATGTGGTGCGGACCCTGCAGAGGTTCTGCTGATGGTAACAACATGCAGCACGGCGGAGCAGGGAGCGGTGAGGGGGGAAGGTTTTAAAGTGATTATTCTCCAGGAATATATCACTTGTTTTCTGGGAAACCCGGGATTTCTTGCTAACAATGAATTTTGATTTTAAAAAGCAGATAATTGATCATAAAATTGTGTTTTAATATAATTTTCAAATTAGGGTTCAAACTGCGGCGCTACAAATGCAAAGATACAGACGTGGCATTACACAAATTACACTATAAACCAGTCTTAGATGATTCTCCAATCATCACAAAATCTGCAGGATATGTCCTCATCATGGAACGTATCCTGAAAGTTTAATTCAAAACGACCACCAGTGGGGTGTGGTATAGCACAAATCGCGCTATACATCGACAATGCTTGTTGTCTGCTTCTGCTCAAATTCCCCAGAGCTGGTATGTGCAAGAAACACAAAACTTTGGGAAATAACTGGAAATGATGTGCAAATGCTTCCACAGAAATAGGAGTTTGATAGTGGCGCTGTAATTAAGGCTCAAAAATGCAATTTTCTAAAAGGCTTGACATTTGTCACACAAGTCCAGCTCAATGTGCTACAAAAAGACAACGTAGCTCTGATTGCCACCAAATTTTCAGTGTCTAATCATTGAATCAGGTAGAACAAAAGTTGCAGAAAGCTTGTTGATCTCTCATGAACTTAAATGGGTGTGGCCCAGCATATAAACAGACACATTTCAATAACCGTTGGGCCACTCATTACAAGCTCACAGCCCAGAAAGTTGCATTCAAATTGATGACTAGGGGGCGCTACAAATGGCCAAAACTCAAAGTGTTTGTCCAAAGGTTACAAAACTTGCAGGATAGTTTCATAACAATGTTGAACCTCGTGTGTGAAACTATTTTGAAATCGCTAACCCTGCAGTGGTTTGAGACGTGGGAGGTTTGTTCTTCAATGTTGAGCGGCACGTCTGGTTAAGTCTTGTCCAACCACCTGCTGAGTTTCTGCTTCGTTCACAATTTTCACCACACAGCTGTACTGTAAGCTGCCATTTTTAAAGGTTGGACTTGCTTGGCTCTGACAGTTTGTGGTGGCGTTTGAGGTTAGAGAATAAGTTTCTCTACGTGAACACACAGGCGCACACAAGCAACAACAGGCAAAAAATCTTGGGTGTCCGCAGCTATAAAGGAATCGATTTTGATCAGAATTTGCAAGAAATATCAGCATTCAACCCTTGTTAGTACTACTGGACACTGAATGTGAACATGGGAATAAAGAGTTAAACATGAACAGTCTGTGCACTCATTTATGAATCTGGTGTCAATAAATGCAAAACAGTGAAATCATAGTCTTGATTCATCTTAAATACAGACTCTGGATTTCATGCTTTCATGCTTTTCTGACTACATAACGATAACATTCTGCATTGCATGCTATAGAATATTATAGCAAATCTTTTTAAATGGACATTGACAGATGTGTCGGTACATGTTTGTAGTTTGACAGACATGCTTATCAACTGGATATTCAGATGCATACACACTCACACATACTGTAACACACAAACATGAATGCACACTGACAGACACAGTGTCCTTCAACCTCTTCTGTCGCATCAGATGCCAAACCCTTCTCCAATAATGTTATGAGAAAAACTTCCTGCACAGATCGCACTGTATTTTTACACCTGGGCCCTATTTCCACATATGTTGGTGTTGAAATGACTAGTAGGTACAAGGAGTTTCAAATCTGTGCAGTTGATGCTTCAGCCGGCAGCTGAACCGGCTGCAAAGTATGCCTTCAGGGAGACTGTGCCTTTCAAAATGGCGTCCATAAAAAGTGCTTCTTTTTGTCACAGACAGGCTCAAACTGTTAAACCAGGTGTCTGACATCATAGAAAGGATCCCTACAAGGGACTACCAGTGACACCCTTTGTTTTTAACAATAAAGTCTCGCTGAAGGCCAAATCACGCTCTGAAATCTCGTGAAAGGCAAGTTGTTGCAGGAAGATGACGGTGGAAACGAGAGTCTGAGTTAGAGAGAGGAATTTGTTGTGTTGGAGTAACGTTAGGAAATAAAGTCTTGTACACAACAAACTCCTCTCCCTCGGTTCGACCGGTGTCTTCCTGCAACAACTCTCCTCTCACGGGATTTCAGAGTGAGAAGAGTCCTTGAACGAGACTTCAGTTTCCTGTTAAAACAAAGGGGGTCACCGGGAATGTGATACAGCCACTGCAGCCGGTTCACAGCTGCCGGCTGAAGCCATCTACTGCACAGATAGCAAACTTAGTGTGGCCTTAAATCTCTGCACCTGCTCAGTGTGCTCATGGAGACGGAGGGTAATGTATAGATTTTTATTGGCTCCATATATAGACACAATGTGTGCTGCCAAGTACACGTGAGGGGTCAAACATGCTATGGTACACCCCTGCTGCTTGGTGCTCATACCGCATGGAAGGTGCATTGCTCTGGGTACTCGAGCTACAGACACTGGACACCCCAAAGCCTCAGTGATGCACAATTCATCTCCACCCTGCACCCTCTGCACTGCTCCTCACTCCGATATGTTTTTCCTGTGGTTCTCAAACTGGGGTCTGGATCCCCTATGGGGTCCCGAGATAAATCGCTTAACTTTCTTTAATAGAAGTAGTATCGTCATTCTAAGATAGATTAAAGAATAAAAAATAACATACTATATATATATTTGTGTTTCTGTTACACAAAAATGTTATCTATACCTTTCACCTCTAACTGAAACTGTTTCACTGCTCACACTGTAGGTGAAATGATTAGTCAATTTAAATTGATCAGTCAATTGACCAAAAAACAACTCTTTTGATGATCAATATTGATAATTTATTCATTTTTTAATGCAAAAAAATAATTTTTGTCAGCTTCTCAAATGCAAATATTTCCGGGTTTTCTTGGTCTTTTAAACTGAATATCTTTGTTTTTTAGGACTGTTGGTTGACAAAACAAGACATTTTATTTGCTGACATTATGTACAGCAGACCCAAAGACTAACTGAGTAATTGACTAAGTAATCATTATTTGTGGTCCTTCTCATATCTACTCTTACAGGTAGATGTTGTTTTATGTCCCATCTTTCAAAAAAAGAAGGAACACAACATAAAAACGTTTCTACAGACCAAAAAGGTGAAGGCTGAAGCCACAGCTTATTGCACCTCTACAAAACCTATTAAACTCCAACAGCAAACACAACCCCTCCTCTGTCTCTGGACTAAAGTCTGACGCTGACCAACGATGCAGAGATTTGCTGGCTCAAACCTGGTGTCCGTATCAATGAGCTGCCTACAGTTCCCTAAATCTCCAAATCGCCCCTGTGCTCATATAAGATTTCTGCTTCAACGGCAGCTTCCCGGCCGTGGCTCTGCTACTGGAGACGAATGCTACGGGATCCTGTTACATACAAGTTACACCTGCACAAACAGACGGATGGACGGACACACATGCTACAAGCACTCACACACACTCGTGTAAACATGGCATGCATGCAGGGAGTGACGGCCAGCACTGAAATGTGTGCAGCGTGTCGTTTTGTGTGCACATGCGGTTGATTGTGAATGTGTATGCTTGGTGTACCTGCGTTGTGCTTTGCCAGATATTTGTCTTTGTACTGCTTCTTCTTCTTGCCAAACCAGGTGCAGCTGGCCTGCTGCTCCTGCTTGGTCTTCTCCATGGCTATGCACGCCACTCGCCTACCACAAACACACAGACAGAATGTAATATTGAGCTGACAGATTGTAGATGCGTTTGTCTGCGACCTCATGTTTTTGCTGTAATCTCCCTGCGAGTGTGTGTTTTCCCCTCTCACCACTCCTGCAGCTCTGGCGACGGGATGAGGCCTGCCGTGCCATTTTTTGTGTTCTCCAGCTTGCCCTGCCACCAGTTGTGGTCATCCTTGGAGATGATCTGGATGATGTCGCCCACCCGGAAGCGGATGCCGGCCTCCTTGCAGGGGATGAGTTCGTCTTTGGAGGGGTCATATTCAAACTGAGCCCTCACGTAGATCTGTGGCGAGAAGCTCAGAGGTTAGACGAGTGAGCTAACTGATGGGATGGGTCGGGGTGGTGGTGTTTCCAAATTAGGAATTGGTGTGTCAACTGAAAGAAGTGAGTGATGCGAGTATTGGGAGAGGTGCAGAGAAAGGAAGAGTAATTTGACAGGCAGGAAAATAAGAGTTGCCAGATGGTGAACTTCCTTTTGCCTATCAAGACCGGCTGACGTAATGAGCAGTGGACTCTCAGGGGATGTGAGAGCATGGGGGTGTTTTTGGTTGCCAGGTTGGAAACTGGTTTCCAAGGAAGAGCTTTCTCCGGTGAGATAAACCCAGACACTGCTGGGCTATTAATGAGCCTCTCAACACTCTGGTAATTACGGCACAGGCATTGTTTATGTGTCCATTAGTTCAAAACAACATTCTGCTTCACACCGGTTTTAAACCACACAGCTGTCTGTTGCTGTTTTACAAAATGTGAAAGCTGCTGGAAGTGTTGGGGACATTTAGTGTAAAATGGGATGGGAGAGGCTGTCTCTTACCTTCACAGACATTTTGTCCTTGATTGGAGGTCTGGATACATCTAGATACATCTAGGATTTGAAAGCATCACACACATCATGCAGCAAAACGGCTATGCAAGGTCTAAACAGCAGTAAGGTGGCCAAGGTTGGTGGAGGGGAAAAGGGTTGGGGGGGGGGTTGATGATGGTGAGACTGGACATGAAGGCTCATCCTGCTAAAACTTTAAACATTTACTTTCTATCAACATGTTGTCATGTGGAGACAATTCAGTGGTACTGAGATCAGCTCTGCAGCACTGAGGCTGCCAGGCTTGTGGCGTAAGATGGTCTGTCACGGACTCTACTGCCCTCTGCTGGTACAATCACAAGATCTTTTGATGCTACTTTTCTGGGACTTGCTATCACAACATTAAAAAGAGTGAGCTTGTGTGATTTTGGGCGGGTAAGGTCGGATGATCTCGGAGTAAATTGGGTAATCATGTATGTGTCGGGAAGTTGCACGTAAAGAGGGATGAGATGACAGTTATGGAAGATTGTTAGCTTGAGGTTGCCCGTAACACTGTTCTAACAGGTTCTGTCCTTGCACACAAATGTTACTGCAAAGGGCATGAGTTCATATCTGACTGGGGATCAGTGGTTAGGGGTGATCTCTAGACTCTGCGGGGTTCAACAATGCCTGTGCCATTATTACCATACATACAGTTTAAGTGCAGGTGGTGAAGTGCTACACTGTGAGGACACAACAGTGGTCACTGTAAGAAAAAGCAAGTAGAGGTCTTCATAAGTCCAGTCCAGTAACAAAGACCTGACCCGGGAAATCTTGCTGCATCCAAATCATATTCAGTTAAAGTAGGGTCCCGTTCTTTTGCAGCGTGTCAGTATATCTAACCGAGTATGGGGCTGAAACAATACGCTGAGTCAGAAAATCTTTGAGAATCACCTATTTTGATAATCAAATAATTTTTTATTATTTTATTATTATTTATTCTTTGTCTCTGTTTTATATCATTCTAAATTAAATGACTCTTTGGCCAGACAACACAATCAATTTGAAGATTCACCTTCACTATTCTGATGTTTGATAGATCAACGGACTGGCAAAATAACTGACAGATTAATCAATCGGGAAAATAGCTAGTAGTTGCAATCTGATCATAGTGGATGTCTTGTCAACTCCGATCACATGGTACGTCATACTGCAGCAAGAAGTGGTGAGACAGTGTGAGAACTTTAATTGGTGGAGCGTCATACTACTGCCGTCTGTTGGTGTTCTCTCACCGTCTGGTTCTGACTTCACTCGGGTCCCTAACAAATCAGGTCTCTTACTGCACGTGAGTTTTGGAAGGTTTTTAAATGGGTCTCTTTCATATGGGGTCCTAAATATTGGACTCATGAAGACCTCTACAACCAAATAATGAACTGCAGAAGCGGCGCTGGACATCTTAGATCCACTCTGTAGATGTCCAACACCAACTGACCACTGTTCTGCTCTCAGTATTGTCCGTGGAGGGCAGGTGTGGGTGTTAAAGAGTACAGAAGAGGAGAGGAGGATCACGACGATGTGTGTTGTGTGTGAATCTCTGGCTTCCTTTACCAATTTGATATAGACAGACAGACTGATGCATTTGCAGTGAGACTGTTTTCCTCTTGTACTTGAAAGAAAAAGCATTATGTTCTCTAAATCAATGAAATCTAATCTTCCAAAACACCCTCGAAACAAAGTTTAATTTGAAACCAGATGCATTATTGCTGCTCCCCTCTTTGGTCTGCTGGAAGCTGAACAGCTGTAGCCTATTTTGAAAATCCTTATTTCTTCTGGAATAGTTTAAAAAGAGGTCGTCAGAGAGTCTGAACAGCCTGTCAGCAGCCGGTCTAAACAAAGCAACTATCTAGTAAATTAATCCAAATTGAGTCAATGAGTTTTGTGAAGCAGAAAAGAGGGTTAGGGAGAAACTGAGACACACACTTGTGTATAAAAGGGGAGGGATGCAAGCACTGTGTAAGGAGCTAGTGAGTACAGGTGAGGGAGTAAGTGGCTTTTATTCACCTGTCGACCCTTGGGCTGAATGGTGGATGGCAGGTCCTGTGGAAGTAAACCATTGATGACAGAAAGACACAGTTAAGCAAGATACAAAAAAGCATTCAGATATCCTTTAGAGAAATATTAAACCATGCATGAACATTCATCTGCAACGTGGCTCTTGCAAAAGAAAAAAAAAGAAAAGATAAAGAAAATAAAAGATGAGAGAGGAAAGTGGCAGAAAGAAGAGAGTAATAATTCTCATCAGTTAAAAGCAGATCTAGCTGTGGAGCAAACAACCAAGCAAGCACAGAGCAAGCAAAGCTGCAGCGTCAGCACAGTGTCTGTCTGGAGCCTTGGCGGAGAAACACAGGAGCTGCAGAGCCTGATTAGGTTTAGTGTGATGCACAGCGGGAGCCTGGAGTGTGTCCCCTGTACCGTCGTGACCACAGGAGGCCTAGTGTGTTGTGTCAGTGATGAGGCACAGCACGCAGCAGGCTTTATGAGGCACACCAATTTGTTAACTGAGATATCGGACACGGGGGGCCTTTGGCTCAAACAGATGAACGGGGAGAATGACGCGGGGCCGACTCAGGAGGTTTAGTGCACCACCCGCCTACTGCTAATTGTACTGCTGCTACTATCAAAGAACTCAGAACTAAACAGTAATACACACATCTACACGGACAAACGGATCAGCTGACGGAAAGACATGTGAAAATACTATGACATCAACGTGAAAAATGAGACGCACCGGAAAGGGGGGGGGGTAGGAGAAAGAAATGTGTCGCGGGTCTGATGGTGGGGTTTTTCTGAGGGGGGTGGGGCGGGGATCCTTACCAAGATAGAACTGTTAATGCTGGAGTGGCCATTGGCAGGGGACTGCCTGGAGGTGTTGGGGGACTCTTTCTGAAATAAGACACACAGGTCAGCACAGCATACACACACATACACATCTCACACACACACACACAATCTTCTGGGCAGCGACCCGAGGCGATGGAGACCCACTACAGCGCTGATGTAGTGAAATGGGTCAGCAAGACATGAGAGACAGCATCATCACCAGCCCTGTAGCCTGCACGTCCTTACGTCACCACAGGGGGGCGGCAGATGAACTTCAGATCGAGACCATGAGGTCATCCCTAACACAGACTGCCACAGACCAAAGCCACTGACTAAATCCCTCACAGAGCAGCCAGGGTGTGCTGGAGGACCAAGAGAGCTGAAATTAGGATTGAATGCATGCTTAATCTCAAATTTAACGATTTAAAAAAAGAAACTATGATAAGCAAGTGAAAATGGAGAAGGGAAGATGGCAACTGAAAATATTTAGCAATGCACTCTAATATTATAAAAGTAAAGAAATGAGTAAAAGGAGCTAAAATTAATAAAGCAAAATGACAAATCAGCTTGATGTATAAACTGATCACTCAAAATTCTCTTAAGTTTGTAATTTATGGATCTATATTTGGTTCGTCCTTCAGCTGAAAATGGCAGAAAACAAAGCTGTGGTTTGCAGCCGAGCTGTCGCTGACTCTGACGCCTACATAAAGACAACCACAAAAACCACTGCACTGGTCTTTTTCAGTCCATTTTAAAATTACACACAAGGGTTTTATTTGGCCAGGCGCCAGATTACATGAGTAAATGCACGTCTGTCCCAAAAAGCCTCTAAGATCTGCTGGTTTAGCCCTTTTAGTTGTTCCAGAGTCCACAACAAGGCGCAATAAAGCTTTCCATTTACTGCTCCTTCCTTCTATTTAAATTTGGTAAACTGATGTCTTTGTGTCTGAATTGTTGGTTTCTATAAATTTCATGTTGCGGTACTTACAGTACTCTATATTTTGTTTTTAGTCTGTACTTTCCCTCCACTGGAAAGCTCCTTGTTTGAAACAATATTGATTTATGTACCCATTTAAAATAGTGAAAATCTGCAGTGATCAGAGACATTTTTATATAAATAGCCTACATTTAAAATTAACTATTTAATATAAGGTTAATGGCTTACATTCCCTTTCCCATCCTCCATTTTCTCCTCTTCTTCATCTACTGAATTTTCTACCATCACTTTTCAAAATGCATGCAGGATGTGAGTAAGCACAGTCGACTCTCCTGTCAGTCAAAACTCAGGGCTCAGGAGCCATTTTACGACTGCATTTCAAGTCTTTTGGTCCATGTTTATCCGTGTGTTTGGGGGAGAAGGTGTCAGAGTTTTTGTAAAACATGTGCGTCTTCGCCCTCTCTGTGTGCAACTGAGTGGTGTCTGTGCGTCAACAGCTTTTTAAATGGGGTGGACAAAATAACAAATACCTTACAAACCAAAAGCCCTGCAGTAAATAGTGTCAAGCTCAGTATGAAGCAGAAGTTGGTTTGGAGCAAGTGTTTGGGGGAAGTGTGAGTCTGTGTTGTGGAGAAATGAGAGGAAATGAGAGAGAGAGAAATGTATAAAATGTTTTTGTGTTTGACTGAACCAAAACAATGAGTCAAAACACTAAAAAGATCTCAGGGAAGCTGCAGGTGATAAAATAAATGTGAGCGACCCCTTTGACATCACACATGGTAATTTGATCCTCTGTTATTATGACAGTATTGATTAGTGTGGCATTAACTTGATGGTTATTTCTGAGGTGGCGTGAAGCAAATATCACGTTGTGTCTTTCAGGGCAGAAAGAAGCCCAAACAAGAGAGACGTGTTGTCGGCCAACTTTGATTACGCACCAGCCCACATCCTCCTCATGGAGATCCTGAACTGTTAGTCACAGTTCTGCAGCTGAAGCCGTGAGACAACAGAGATAACATAAGCAGGGTTTGGGTTTGCCTGGCTATTTAACAACATGTTTAACTTTTCATATAGTCGAGAGAGCTCATGTGGACGAGTGAGAGAGCTTGTCAAAAATCGTAACCATTCATCAGGGACGCTGGAAATCAGTCACAGGTGGGGGTGCTGACAGGAGTCTATATAATGACGTACAGTAACAACAATTTGAGAATATTTTACACTACTGTAGACAGCAAACTTAAACACCAAAATTCTGTATTTCTAAACAGCAGCAACACAGTTAACAACAGGAACTAATGCATGAGAGCTGCAGGAGATGAAGAGGGAGAGGTGTGACCCACAACCAGGTCATCGTAGATTCTGATAATGCAGCGCAGTGAGGATATGGAAAGAAGTGTCGAGGTGATATCAAAACTTTCTCTAATGTTCCTCTGCAGCTCTGTGGTTTATAGTCTCTAACCCACGCTCAGACTGGAGTCTCAGTTAACAATGACAGACGCTGAATCCTCTGTGAATCCTCACTGCATTAATCTACAATGACCTGGTTGTGGGTCACACCTCTCCCTCTTCATCTCCTGCAGCTCTCATGCATTAGTTCCTGTTGTTAACTGTGTTGCTGCTGTTTAGAAATACAGAATGTTGGTGTTTAAGTTTGCTGTCTACAGTAGTGTAAAATATTCTCAAGTTGTTGTTACTGTACGTCATTATATAGACTCCTGTCAGCAGCGCCAACTGTTTCTGACTTCCAGCGTCCCTGATGAATGATAACGATTTTTGACAAGCATTAACAAATTAGGAAAAACCTCTAAAGTTAAATTTATAATTTCTGTGCACTTAAAATCATTGTTTTATTTGATAGCATTTGGCATTTGTGCCCTCAAAAATTGACAACACCAAAGGCCATGTGGCCTTGCCCCTAAAATAATGAATTTCCAAGCCTGGTGCCTTTCATAATGTTGATTTACAGTATATCAATCTCCTGCATTGCCCATGTCCTACTTTGCATGATGCTGCCTTACTCCTCTAAGGTTTTTATCCTGTTCAACTGCATCATGTTTTAATTTCTCCTGTTGTGTGTTTTCTGGTTGTTTTAATGGCTATTTAAACAGTTGAAGATGAGCCTTTTGGCTAACACTGGCAATGTACAGTGATTAATGTGCACTGTGTCCCTGAAAGTACATAAATGAATAAAATGAATAAATAGGTGTTTCTGTTATTTTGTCCACCCCTGGAGTGTGTGAGTGTGTATGCCATGGTGGCGGTTGGTCTGCAGGCAGGACGGGATCACACAAAGAGGTGTGGCTCATTCCCTGGGAGAGAGAGAGAGAGGGGTGGGGGGGGGTGGGGTTGTGGTTCCGGTATCTTGGTTGTGAAATTGGTGTGCTGAATATATCAGACCCAGCCCAAGCAAAACACAGCAAAACACACGCACAACCCACACCAACGCACTCACACAACATACTTGGGTTACACGCACGCACGCACGCACACACACACACACACACACGCTCAGTAACCCGGCGAGCAGTTAGTAACCAGATCAGGAGCTCACAATCAGCAGTGAAGAGGGGAGGAAGAGGAAGAAGAGGTGGTGTTACCTCACACGAGGAGCCCTGGGTCCGATAACTCGGCACTATTTTGAAGGTGATGCTGCCTCGCATCTCTCTCTGTGAACAAACACACAAAGATTGTGAATTAACCTTAACCTTCAGATCAGCCTGCGACATTTTGCTGATGAACACAGTGATGTAGAGATACACTTAAGCATGTACCAACACACTCACCAGCATCTTCTGCAGCTGCTCAACCGTCTGGTTGGCCACACTGATGCTGTTGATCTCCCTGATCTCATCTCCTACGTGCAGCGTCCCTGAGTGGAAACCAGAAAGAGAAAGACGTGTAATCAGACCTTTGTCCTCGTTACTGAGCCACTCTGCATTTCACCAGCCTCTGTCGCAACTGTAGTGGAGAGAATCTTCCTTTGTTATAGAGCTGGTTTTCCAAGGAGTCCGCATGATAAATCAAGTGGGGATTAATTAAACAGTCACAATAAAAACAACAGACAAAGTGTTCCCTTCAGCCACAAGAGCAGCTGTTGAAATGTCTGCTAGAATGGATTTCTGCACACACTTATCACCCTGTTTGTTTGGTCTTCTCTTAAATGCTAACTGCACACTAGAGGATAAATGGGCCGAATTTGGGTCCCGAGAGCTGACCGGGAAGCGTGCTGTGTATTTGCTCGTGCAATAAAATGTATAAACCATGCCGATTCCCTCTCCTCAACCTCGAGCGTATCCACAGTTTGATTCTCTCCTTTTTTGACAGTCTGCCTCCATGTTTGTTTATGTCTGAAGTCCTGATGGATCATCCGAACCGCCGTTCTGAAACCTTTTCATATAAACAGCAAGTGTGTGGTCCTGCGCCTGGAATCAGTTAAATCTGTCATTATGTCTGTGGCGTCCTACGTTTTTAAAATCAGTTAAGATTTGAAAATCCTCTAGAGTGCACCAGGTGTAAGTGAAGACGGAGGAGGAGTTACATTTTAGTATAATGTCCATTTAGAAGACTAGCAGAAGAAACTCCTTCCTGTAGATTTACATTAATAACATGATATTTTATGCAAACTAAACCCTACATTTTTAATTAAATTAAATATTGACACAGCCAGACTGCTTTTCTTCTGTGGAGCCAAATTTGACTATTTTACAAATCATGTGAGGCACGGCTCTCTGTCCACATTCGGTTTGGTGATCAGTCGGTGAAGGACTTGAGTCATACAGCCTCTGGGAAGAAATCAAAATGCCCTTCATCAGTGTGTAGGCATGAATGTCAGTGGTGAGATGGAGAAAGTATACCTTGTCTGTGGATCATTCCCCCGTGCATTATCCTTGCAACGATGCAGTGGTTTGAGTCGTTCATCTTCAGCGTGATACCCTGCATGAATGAACACAAACACATGGCGGATGATACAGTGCATAAGGTCTTAGCAAACAGCTCTGGTGTCATCTCATTCCAAATGTGTGCCTGAGTACAGTAAATATGTTGAGCTGTGTACCATCGGCTCGTCTGTGTTCTTCTGGAACTGGACCAGGCGGACTCTGGTGACGTTCTCCAGGTCCATGTCTCCGTTGGCGCTCTCCGGGGAGTCTCCGTTCAGGTAGGGCGAGGTGGGTGGAGGGGTCACCCTCAGAGCCTCGTCGCTGTAAACCTCGTGGGCCACCACGTCGTGGGCCTGCAACAGCGCCTGTGGACACAAATGCAAGCACAGCGTTAGAGCGAGGCCTGGCTCAGACTTTATGTGGAAACAAACACCAGAGAAGGTGCACGGCCAAAACAGTTACGTTAAATAAGCGGGGACCTTGGCTGCAGTGTGAGGTGAGAAATCCAAGAAAAATACTGACGCTGCACTTCTCGTAGCAGATTTTTCAACATGTGTCCTGCTGACGTCGCATGGCTGCAGGGATTTCATGAGCTGAAGGAGGTTTTCAGTATAAAGCAGCTGTCAACAGATAGTGTAATATTCATTTATAGATCACTGCAGACTGTTTCATTCGCATTAGACATTATCTTTGATGCTGATTTAAACGTTTTGATTCAGTTACTCTGCTGACAAAATCAGCAGACCGACGCTGCACGAGCAACAGATGCGGTTCTGAGACGTCCGGTTCTCAGTGCAAAGTCTGTGGGCTCCCAGAGCTCTGTGATAGTACTTTACATTTACACAGAAACCAGACAAAATGGCAGATTACTTGGTGAAAAGTGAAAGAAGAAGTGGAACTGCCTGGTAAGTATTCTATGAAACAAGTTAGCATAGCATAGCCCTGGTCGATCCAAACTCCATTCAGAAAACAGGCATTTTAACAGTTGAGTGCTTGTCATCTTGCTGACAACCCTGAAAAAACATGAAGTCATACTGTATGTTTTAGCAAATCTGCATCATGATGTAGTTATTTCTGTTATATCATTTTGATCCGCTTATTGCCAATAAATCGCAGCAAAATGTTTATTTTGGGTTCACACCGCTGTAGTAAAGCCGGTTGTGTACTCAAGCGAGTAGTCCAGCGATAAAACTTGTGCTGCCTCATTTGGTTGAACCTCCCACCTGTTTGCTCCTATCCTCCTACCTGGGCACCGTGCATGAAAATACCACACAGACAGACAAAGCCAAAGAGTATTGTAATTTCAGTATTTAGACTTCATTCAGACCACTAAGGAGCAGGAGGGATTTACATCACGACTTCCTCTTACTCTCCACTCTGTAGTTTAAGGTAATCCCCCCTCTTCCATGAATGTCTTTTAGTTTTCAGCCCCCTCTGTCTGATATAAAGCAGCGTGCCTGGTGTAGCTGCAGAGCCCGCTGGTGCCTCACGGCCACCAAGCGTTCGACTCTACTCTTCTGACAGCCGCAGAAGGCCTTGAGTGGCACTTTAACAAACCGCTCTGAACTTCAGAAGACAGCAATCAAACCGCAACAAAAGGCAAACCTGTCACAGTCTTCCCTCAACATCACACCAACACACACACACACACGCACGCACGAGGAAGTAGAGCAGATCAGAGAGGCAGCGGCATGAAGTAACTTCCATGTCAAACTGCATCACACGCAAAAGAAACTTCCTGTTCTCAGACAGAGGAATTTATGGTTGTGTGTGTGTGTGTATGTGATCTAATGAGGACAGGGTTAAGGGGTTAACTAATCCTTTCATTGCATGTGGATGTGCTTAAATATGAGTGAAAGCGGCACAAGAAATCATAAGCGAGAAAGATCTTCCTGTTGACATCAGGGGTATTCAAAAGAAAGATAAGGTGACGTTAAACCCCATTAATCATGCCCTTACTATCGCTGGAGAAAGGAAAAGGTCACATCAAAGGTCACTGTACAGTTTTTGTTTTAAATAGTGAAGCTGTGAGGTGACATAAACTGCTGCAGGAGGTTTCAGTTGTACTTTGGACGTTGTTCCGACATTCAGAATAACAAACGCTTGTTGTTACTAGGCAGCTCGCTGCTTGTATAATGTATATTTCACAGGCTAAATATTTAAATAATTACATTAATCTCATAAACGTGTGACTACTTGTCAATTACAACAGTCTTTAGTTGGGGGCAAAGTTACAAAAAACACTTTGGACCGCAGTGATGGACGAATGGTTACTGCATTTAACTCCTCCTTAAACTGCTGTTTCTTTTGACAAATTAAACAAAAGACACATAACATTTTAATTACTGAACTTCAGAGGCGCTGACAGGCGTGACATTTAAACAGCGCCAACCCAGCTGTTTCCAGTCTTTCCTCAGGTTTGAGTCTTTTGGGTGTGAGAGGAAGTTTAGTTTAGCTTAGCTGCCTGCAAAGACTCATCGCACCCAGCCAAGAAAGAGACACATAACCGACTAAAAACCACAACTTTTCTTTTTCACACTTTGGTTTTTGTTTGAATTAAACAAACAAGACACATCATGAGCAATCATGTTTTTACCAGCTTAGAAATATATCAAAAATATGATCTATGTTAACTTTTAAGGACACTGAGACCATTTTACACGCCTTCACCTCATCACGCCTGGATTATTGCAACAGCCTTTTCACCTGTTTAACCCAAAAATATTGATCGACTCCAGACTGTCCAGCACTCAGCTGCCAGGCTTTTAACCAGAACAAAGAAAATATGACCACTTCACCCCTGTTTTAGCTTCATTACAATTATATTACAATTTTGGATTTATTCACGCACTTCAAAAACATTTATTGGAAGTTTTTTTCTATTTACATGTTTATTTACAGCATTAAACATTGAAATGTATATTGTAATAGGCTAGATATTAACTTATTGGGAGAAAACTGGTAGTTCTATGTAAAATCAGATGTTGAGTGCCCCCATGTCGTCAAAATGGCATGATCCTCGTTTCGCTGCGATGCTTCGACTGTGAGATTGACAGTCGAATCAGGCTCCGCCCACTGAAGCATCGAAGCTTCGACTGTTCGGAGTCAGCCCTAATTTTATATTTACTTATACTTATCGTGTATGTGTTTTATTGTCTTTGCACTTGTTGAAGCACTTTGTAAGTTGTTGTTGAAAAGTGCTCTACAAATAAAGATTATTATTATTATCATGTTAGATAGGGAACTTTAAAGGTGCTGATAGGTGGATTTTTTTAAGGCATTGGAAAGAGCCTCTCGGCTTTACCTCTGCACATAACGCACAGACATACGACTGGTACTGACCTTCTCATCTCAGTCTCAGAAAGAAAGGGAAACAACTGTATTTCCCAAAGAGTTGAACAAGGAGGAGGACTGAGAGGACACTTGTTCCTTAAAAGTATTCAGATCCACTCATACACTCTTCACACGGCCCGCCCCGGTGTCGTCTGCTCTCACTTGAACTCGCTGGAATGTAGAACATGATGTAAAAACATGATGGTGCCTCTTTTTCTCCCTCCCTCCCTTCGTAACTTTACGCTCCTGTAGCTCTATGAGGGAGCCTCTGACCCGACACAGCACATCGCATCAGACACGCCTTATTGACCTCCATTCAAACCTCCCCTCCCTCTCTGACCTCACAGTCTGGACCCTCACCTTCCGATCATCTTGATTACTGATCTCTTCTCCCTCCTTATCATTTCATTTTGATATCGTCTTCTCTTCTCTGTCTACTTCTGTTTTATGTTCCCCCTGCCCTGCATCACACCCCCTCCCCTCTCGGCTGGTCTGTCTGTTAGATATTGAGCAGGCCACTGATCAGAGATGCATTAATGTGATAGGATTAAGCTGGGGAGGCTGCTGACAGCCCTACAGTTTTTTTCCCTCGAATGGATTAACCCTTGCTGCTCAGACCCAGACAGTTTAAATGCACATCTATTCCTGCAGAACTACTTTTAAACATTGTGTTGAAGTGTGAAGAGGCACTTCAGTTCAACAGCTACATTCAAATGTCAAACATGTGACCTTGTGTATCTGTTCGCCATATTAATGTGTCTTTGGGTTAAGTGAAAGAAGCTGAAAGCACTTTACCGCCTGTAGAAACTAAAGCTGAAAAGCGGTGCCTCTGACTCACACCTATGTCTCTCTTTTCAGCGCTTCCTAACCTCACGCAGAGCGATGGCAGAAGAAGTTACAGCATCTTAAAAGCAGCAGAATACAGCCGCTGGCTGCTGAAGCCTGCAGCGTCTGACCAACAGAGACACAGGGATTTATGCTTCCTCCAGCTGGCATCGTCAGCAGTCCCTGAATGTTTGTTAGGAGGCCTCCCGCGCAGGTCTGAAAGGGGTGACGGATATTTTTTGACTCACCATGAAATGTGGCTGCGTCAGTATCCGCCTGAGTTCTTTAGCTTCGTGGTTCTCTGGGTAGCAGGAGATCTCTTCCAGTACCTGAAGATGTAGAGAGAGGAAAAGGCATCACATGAGTTTGTTGTTTTAAGCCACAGTTCTTCTTCTTTACGCCCCAAATCGCGCACACACGATTAAAAAACCCAAGCGCTCTGCTGTACCTGCTGCACCTCGGACGGCGTATGGAGAGCGACCCAACAACCTCACACAGTCCCCCTCAAACCTCCCTTCACACCACCTCCTACAGCTCCACAGCACAATGTGAGACCAACTCTGGACGCCACTCAGCGAGTCAAGGCTTTGCCCCTCCTCCTGCCCTTTTGACTTGGTTTGATGTCAGCTCCAGTTATGTTGCGCCTGACTGGTGAATGTGGCATTGTAGAGGTGAGGCCTCTGAGGGGGCGTGTGTGTGCGAGTACCACTGAAACCTGAAAACGTGGAGTTATGATGCACTTAAGTGTGCATGTCAATCAGATGGGTGTGTAGTTTGAGTGTGTGTACATTCAGGTATCTCTAAAGTCTATTAATCAGATTTAGTTGTTATGCTACAGAGCCAGCAACCACTGGCACGGAAAAACATTTTGTCCTCATTGCTGCAAACTACTGTATATGAAACAGTCAGCTAGTCGTCACGAGCAGCAACAACAACAAGAGAACTACAGTTTATCATCGTTATCTATAGAAGGTGTTTAAACCACAGCTCGCTAGAGCAGATCTCAGGCCTCTTTAACTCTAGTTACACCTCGGGTAAATGCCCGGACAGTTTTCACCTTATAAATGGAAGTAATTACAAAAGGGTTTAAAACTTGAATGTCTCATCCCACAGGCAACGGTTCATTATGTAAGGTCTTTATACACCACTGAAAACATAGCTGTGGATATTATATTGCATTTCTGTCAACAGATTACACACTGAACCTTTAAATCTATTTAGTGACTTCTGTGATGGCTCTGATCTCAATCAGACTACCTGATTAAACACACACATAATACAGAGTCGCATATTGGATGAATCTTCCTGTTCAAACGCAGACTATTGTTCAGTATGGTACCGCCGGAGCAAAGCAGCTCGCTTGTGTGTTCCCCACCAACCCCCCTCTTCCATGACCTCCACTGGATCCCTTCCGCCAGACACTCCAGACTCACTTGTTCAGAGTTCACCTGGACTCTGCAAAGCCTCCATCCTTCACCCACCACTGCCTTGTAAGTCGCTTTGGGCAAAAGCGTCTGCTATATGCCCAAAATGTAAATACAGAATATCATCATCACTAAATGTCCAGAGGCATGTTATAGAAACCTGTTCTCTTTACATCTGAGGGTCCTTTTGGCCCCATGTAGAACTGGTTCAATATGGAGAAAGTTTTAAGCTTTAATAAAATGTAAATATAATGCAGCTGTTTGCTCTCCTATAGATGTGATTTTGAGGGTTACAGCTCTTTATCCTGCTTTTATTTGTGCTTCATTTCCGTTCTCTAAGAGATGATAATATTATGTAGAGCAACAGCATCTAGGTTTATGAGTTATTGTGTCATTACTTTTGTTCTTTCATTCTTATTGTTTGTGTGGATGTCTTGACATTTATGTGGACCTGAGGAAGTTTATTTATCTACATACAAAATTTTTTTTTCCTGTTTGAGACGCAGCAGTAGATCACACAGGAACAGGAAGCCGCTACATTGCATAGATATTATCTCGATTTTCACTCCTCCTCAGTCTAAACCTCCTCCAGCTCTGCCTCATGCTCCACTCATTAGCAGTGTTAACGTGGCAGTGTGTGTTGAGGTCTCGGGGCTTACATATTCCAGATGTTTCAAAGCGCCACTTGCTTCGTCTTGGGTTGAACTCTTAAGTGGAGGGAAGACACAGGGAGAAGGTTATACAAGCTGTCCACTGTCCTTTTTTAGAGAGCTCACAGGCGAAAGTTCAGCGGTCAGGGGAAGGTGAGACTCCACCCCTGACTTTATTCAGTGCCAGACAGTTTGATTTGGGCTGTGAATTAGGGATTAGTATCTACAGCCAAAGCAGGTTACTTAGTTTTGAGACTAACAGAACTTAGTCTGGAGGTAAAAAAAGGTGTATTAGTGCAGTCAGAACAAAGCTTTGTGGAAGTTTGTAGCACCTTATTGCTGTTCTGTTGGGCCCTGAAACCCACAAGAGTCCATCGGAAGCTGCAGTCTGATTGGTTCAAAGCATTTCAGTGTCAGCCAGAGGGGAATCGGCAGAGACAGAGGTAAAGCAGAGGAGGAGGAGGTCCCTAAAGGCACAACCAGGATTACATGATGAGATCATTTGAGGTGAAACTGTATGTAAGCAGTCGTCGGCCAGTCTTCCCTTACTGAAAGTTTACCTGGACTACAATTTAAAAAACACAGTCGGGTAACGGTCCAACGCAGAAAATGTGGCGGCGCGATCAACACATTTCAGACTCACCTTTCTTTTTGATTCTAGGACTAAAATGTACACACGCCTGAGAAGCATTTATGAAACTTTTCTGACTTCTTTTAGTTTCTCACATTAATTTTGTGAGGGTTTGAGATGATTTGACGCAGGAACAAAAGACACACCTGTTGTGTTCGGTCCAGGTTCCTCATTAATGGGACTATAGATTAAATATAAACATGCTTTAAACCACAAGACATGTAGTAATTTACTGCAGGTGAAGCTTTGGCTCAGCTGTAATTCTAACGTCATGATACAAGTGGGTCTGTGAGACTGTGGGCCTGGATTGTTTTGTCTCTGGAACATACATCCACAACCAATTACATTCTGACACTGAAGAATGTATTTACCTGTAATGGGTCTTTATCTAGAGAAAGTTTATTATGTGAGCTGCAGGGACACAGACAGATGCAAGGAAGCCAAGAAACCCGTACTTTTACATATAAATCTCTGTTACATTCAAGCCTTTGCCAGACGAGTTCACACAAGAGTTTTTAAATCTGGAAACGTCTCTGTGGTTTTGTAACTGTGGCGAGCTCACTTGTAGGCCTCATCAAGCACTTGTTGAATAGCCGAATGAATGGTTTTTGATTTTAATCAATGGTTAGCCAAATCAATGGTTTCTTCCAAGGTTACAGTGTTTTCAGTACAAACTTTGCTCTTTGTGTTTCAGTGTCTCCTTTTTGGACTGCGGTGGAAGGATAGTAAGGACTGTAACTTCGGAAGATAACCGTGTGATTTTTCTAACACGGTGGCTGATTTAAGCTTCAGATAAACTTCTGAGAATATTTTTGGAACTGTGGATTTTGGGCAGTGTGATTACAGCAAACTAAGCCTGTTTAAAATGTTCATATAAGCACCTGACTATTGTTTTAAGATGTAATCCCGGCTTTAAGGTGCAATAACAACAATTAGCTGGTCAGGACAAACTTTCTACTCTGAGATGCTTAAAAAAATACAGTAGCCTGGTTAAACGCAGAGTTCAGTGTGCTTGGAAGGCTCGGTTCTCTCTCAGTGGTCATAAAACTAATAAAAAGACACAAGATATAAACACAGTCAGCAACTAAAATGCGGTTTCTCTCCCACACAGACAGTGTTGCATCTGTTGTGGCTCCATCCACAACTCTTGATCCGTCGAGACTGATTTAAGTAGGAAAATGTGAAGCAGCCTCTATAAGCTTAAACTTCTCGGACACAGTGTACCAGAGCTGTGTTAATTAGCCAGCTCTCTTTGACATGAACCAAAGCCACATAAAACAGATCTCTGCTCCCCTTAAATAGCTTTCCCTGTTTTAGCAGCGCTGGGATTTAAGACGCCAGCCCTCGCCCACTCCCCCCTCGCCGCTCAGACTTTTTAATTGCTCCCTCAACAAAGCACACAGCGTAAACACGGCAGCACTTGCACTCACAATGCACACCACTGATTTCCTTCACACACTCCATCGTCTTTCACGCTCCTTGTTAAGCATGAGTTCCAGTCTGCACCCAGTACGCCGACAGGTAAACACATCAGCCCAAACTAACAGTCTGTATTTGAATGCTTCATCGCCAGGGCCAGACCCTGGAGACCATATTGCAACTCTCTGTAAGAAAGCAAAACTAATAGAGTGCTAATAGAGCACAAATACACTGCTGGTTGAACATAGAATCTGATCTGTGTGAACAGGCCAGTGGGCCAGCTGCTCCAACTGGGCCTGCTGATTCACGGGGTGGTGGATCATGAACAAACAAACCTCCAGAGGTCACTGGAGCTGGAGAGGAAGCGTACAGGGGACTCAGTAACTGAACATAAATAATTGAATAATTCAATCTCTCTTATTTTTCCAGAGTCAATATAATCTCAGTGTAGATGTAAACCAAACAGGGGTTAGCCCTTCGCCTGAAATCAAGAAGGTGTTTGTGGAGTTTATGTTTGCATGGTTCCTTCCTCCAGGTGCTCTAGTTTCCCTCCAAACACATCACAGTGAACACATTTAAGGTGCCTCCTCTGTGTTTGAGTATTTCCCTATTTTACTTCACTACATTTACACGACGGCTTCACATTTTAAGACATTATAATGTATAATAGTTCTGCTCCACCTATAACCAGCTAAAAACAGTGAACTTCCACATAAATGCATCAAAAATGTTAATCCAATAATATAATATACAATAGTACAACACTCATAAGGTCCATTTTTCTGCACTGAGTACTTTTACTTTTGCTGCCTCGATGGGTTAGTTTTTGTTATAGTGTGACTTTAAAACAACAAAGTCACACAATAACTAATCAACTGAGGCAGTGGTAGACGAGCACCTCCTGTGTTCTGCGAGGTAAAATTACTGTTTTTATCAATGGACTTGGTGGCTTTGACAAGAGCAATATTGGCACTGTTTCTGGTTAAACAGAAAGGATCTTGCTCTTTAACAAAAGGTCTCTTTCTGTAGGGATCTTTTCCATAATGTTGTCAGACACTTATAATAACAATCTGAGCCAGTGACAAAATCAAGCACTGTAGTGGACGTAGTTTGATGCGGCGCAATTGCCCGCAAGGATTACGTTGCAGCCCTGTTTAACCTCGACACTGGACACATTTTTATTTTATTTGTCCCAATTAGTCACACAGACACAAGAACATTAGGAAATATGGTCTGAAGTTACCCTTTTAGGTAGTGGAGTGTGATGACGGGATTTCCTTCAGATTTTCATCCAAAAATGCAAATATTAGGCCAAAGACTCGAATTCCCCACCTTTGATAAATATTTTGATTATTAGAATAATTTTGATACATTTTTTAAAATGAAATTACAGTTGAAGTAAACCCCATTTTGCAGAGGACACCCGGGACACACCCGGGACCTGTGGTTGTGCGCCTCCCCCCCACACACACTGAGAATGACTGCTTTAAGTGAGCAGAGTAGGTGAGCAGTGGTGAGTTAGAGCTTTAGTGAGAAAGAGGATTAATATAGCCTGAGCACAGACAGAGTAAGGGTACAAAGAAAAAGCCAGCGACTAGTGAGCCTGTCACCTTTACAGTGACGAACGTCATTGTTATGGCACACATTCACATGAAGAAGAAAAGATCAAACATCACGAGCATATATATATACGTGAGCGTAAGTGTGAATGTGGAAAGATTATTCACCTCTTTGGCTCTCTGCACAGCATCACTGGGCGGGTTTCTGATCTGTGGGGATGACTTGGTGTTGATCTTATCGTAGAGCTGAAACAAAAGATAAAAAAATAAAAACAGTCAATCAATCAGTCAGAGACTGTGACCTGAGAAACACAAAGCACAGTGAGGTTGACATGATCAATGACTTCAACAGCTGATCAACAATCTTGCCAGATGAGATAAAGCTGATCACAACTCGCTTCTCCATGAGTACTGCTTAATTTAAGCCTCAGTAAAATGTAGGGATGAGTACATTTAAGAATGGCAGAGCTCTGAAATGAATAACCAAATACTTTTTTCCCCAATAGTTTTATTCATTTAACAAAAGGAGGTAAAGTTTTCAAATATTACAAGCTGCCATAAAAGGACTTTAAATGAAGAAAGTGGCAACATTTTGATTTAAATCAGGAACAATCTGATCCAAGAACAAATCAGTCTACTTTATTTATTTCTTTAACTTTTATTTAACCAGGAAAAAGAGATATATATATATATATATATATATAATCTCTTTTTCAAAGGAGACTTCGCCAAGAAGGGCAGCAAAACAGCATTTATGACACTACATAAATACTACAAAACATCTTCCAAGACACCAATAAATAATCTTAAAGAATCCAGCCTATGGGAAACGTCTACACTTGCCCTTAAGGACATCTGCAACAAGGGACTTATGCTGCGTTCCAGGCAACTTGGAACTGGGAAATTTCCAACCTCCAACTAGAAAAACTACCCTGGAACGCCACCTGAAGTCGGATTTCCTACTTGTGAACTCGGAGAAAAAAAATAGATATGTACCCCGACTTCACGAGTAGCAGCTGAATTACGTCACAATACAATGTCAGCGCCCATGGATGCACACATTGTAAATGGTAAATCATAAACTAAAAAGCAACAAGTATAATAATAATAAAATAATACAATACCTGTTTTGTATGTACATTGATGTAGAAATATGTTAGGCCTATTAGGAAGCTGGCTACAGTAAAGAATCTCGAAGTCTTCTCTGCATAAAAGTTATTGTTAAAATGCCAAAATATTAGGAAGTATAACCTACTACACTGACTGAATTGAGGGTTACCAACTGATGTAGGGGTACACAGAATTAGTAAAGTAGGCTATAGGCTATTTATGTCAGTTGTTGCAGTTAAACTGCCATCCTTTTAATTAACACCTGAAGCACTGCTGAGGGTGCAACTGTGTGTCCACTTTGTCACGGTCAGCCATGGTTTTTGTTCACTTTTGGCGTCCTGCACCACCATGCACCTGGAACGCATTGAGGTTGGAAGTCGGAAGTTATATAAATATCCCAGTTCCGACCGGTCTCGAACGCGGCATTAAACTCCCTAAGTGGTACCAGCACCTCTAACCAGAGAGTCTTTTGTAAGAACTTCCTTGTTGACGGTGCACAATATGAAAAGGCAGTTCTTCCTAACTTTAGGAGTTCAGGAGAAAGTTTAGGAGGCTGCAAAGGTAACTGTGTAATTTGCAGAGGATTGTCTTGTACATTAAAACAAACAAATGTAACGGTCTACGCGTAGATAGAGAAGGCCATTCTACCATTTCAAACTACAATGATGGGTGGACGATCTGGCATTTGTGATTAAGTGCAGCGCTGTATGGCAGGCGTTCCTAGCAGAGATGAGGCTGCATGCACGTACAACAGTACTCTAGGGAGAGACAGGACTTGTTGCGAAAATAAAAACAATGTTAATTTGGCCAGATTTTATTTTTTGCAAAGCTGACCAATATGTACATTATTGTCCATCCATATACCAACATACTTGGCTGCCCACTACCATTTATTTAACCAGATAAATAAAGACAGCGCTAAAACAACACAAAAGATGGTCGATGATCGATGTATTTATTCTGTTGGCCAAAGTTTTGTAGCTGTATGAGGCCAACAGGTTTATCATTAGGTTATCGTTACCATTGATATTATTATTAAACAAACTTGAAAGAATAAGATGAATAAAATCAATAATCTAAAAATATGGCAAAGCAGCTCACTTACATCTTCTTTTATATCACTGGAAGTTTAGATGCTCTCTTTGGGCTTGGAGAGATATTGTGGTATTTTTCATATGAAAAGTGGTTAAAAAAAACCCAGTTAGCCTTATGTATTGCACTTGTCCTCTGCCCTCTCTCTCTCTGTTTGGTTTAATTTGCCTTAAATGCTCTTTTGTTCTTTTTTTTCCTTTACATGTATTAAATAAAAAGAAACTGTTTTCTCATCTCTGTGATTGAAGAGCGACAGACACAAGAGCTCTGTTTTCTCAAAAATCCCAGCTGACTAATAAACTGCGCTGACTAGACTAGACGGCTTGTAAGGGCCTAGTCAGAGATGAGTGTGAGAGTGTTTAAGAGACAGAAGAGGTTCTGAAACACAGTTTAAACAAAGGCAGCAGCTGTACCAAACCGAAGCAGAGGGGGAGATTTGAACAAAAGATACGGATGACTGTAGTCACCTAAAACAACTGTTATCACGTTCAAAGACATGTGATGTTGGAAGAGCAAGTTGTATTTGACTATCTGTACAGTGCGCGAGTAGGAAATCCTGCATAAATCAGTGCACTCACAGAAACCCAGTCAGAGGCTGACACGGAGAGTCACAGAAAAACTGAGCTGTTGTACCAGACAGTTCAATGCAACCCGGGGACCCAGCACTCCTCTGTGCATCCCTCTCACAACAGCAGCAGCAATACACATGGTGTTGGGCATCATCACAGGGCATATGAGGAATAATCAAACAGCAGAAAGAACAACATTAACCTACAAAATCTATATCATCATTTTGTGCCTTGTTGTTTTGAACAGAGAAGATCTGTGGATTTTCAGTAGTGAAGGGGTTCAGTTTGCTTCAAAGTATCTAGGTCGGATATGCTGATAGAGGCCACAGATGAAAACAGAAGCGTTTATAGAGGTCTAAAACTCACCACAGTCATTAAATAAACTCAAAGGTCTCAGGCCTGAATCATACCTAATGTGAACGGGTACGTGCCGCCACACACGCTGTCTGCAGCCACTGAGCATACATACATATTTACCGCACTCTTCTTGTGCTTTCAAGCGCGGAGTTGTCCACATCTTTCTGCCTTTGTTACATGTTAAACAAAGCTGGACTGACCTCTGAGGGTGTTTATTTAAAAATGAACTAAAATCACAGATGAGCTTCAGCAGCCCACGACTGAACAAGTTGTGAAAAACATTTAGATATTTACAGGCAGGAAATGTCAGCCTCACGTGCTGCGAACCACAGAACAGCAATTCAGGTGCGCAGTTTACAGAGTTTCAAGATATGACAGACACAAGCATCACGCCTTTGAGGCTGTGACTGTATGTGCCGACAGCCATAAGCACGCAGCAGCTCTTATTTTAGGATGAGAAACTGTATGATATCCTAATTATCTATTAGTGACAAGTAAATTCAGACATATTTTCCTGAAGGGCAACTTATTACCCTGCCTCTATTAGCAAGCAAGGGAGTAAGGAGCTGCCGAAACTAGCACATGAGGGGGAAAAAATACAAATGCAGTTGACTAATGCGCCTCATTATACAAGTCAAACGCCAAATACAACCACAGGGGGATGCTGGGATGACTTCAAATTAGCATGAGGCATCTTTTGACAAAACGCTCTCCCTGCAAACACATCAGAACTAAAACACACTCACCCTGAAGATGTAAGTGGTTTGTCAGAAAAAGGCAGCCAACAGAGCGCAAACGAGACGGAAATTATCTGAGCAAGGAGGCCGCATCCGATCAGTGTCTGCAGGATTTCTGGTTCCGTCTGTGTGTTTCGGCGCCGAGGAGGTGACTTGCAGCCGCACAGATAGTGATATAGGCCGTGCTTGTTGTGAATGGCACCGAGGCCTGACAAAAGAAGCCATTGTTTCATGTGAGGCTGCACTCTTCTGTCCTTTTTTGACTCCCCCTCCTCTCAGAGCAGGGCAGGGGTGTGAAACTGAGGCTGAAAAGGAGACATCTGCAGCCCCAGCCTCCCTCTGACACACACACACACACACACACACACACACACACACACACACACACGCCAGATCCTCTATACTCCTGCAACCCACTTCAACCTATTCAGCCTCCAGCAACTGGGAGAGCCTTTAGCATAACGCACACATCTCTCTTTAGAGTCACTTTTCCTCGGTTAACTCTATCCAAGTGCAGGTAGCTCCCTCAAACATTTTAATTTCAGCCTCTTTAAACTATTTGGCTTCTTGGAAGTTGTTAAAGAAGAAGTTTTGGCCTCGTCATTAAACCAATGCGAGCCTCTGCAGCAGCGTATCAATGGTGAGATGAGCTTATGTTTGCGAGATCACGAGTTTGAATCACAGGGCCAGCTCTGAACAGAAGGGTGGGAAAAGTCTCCCCTCCTTCAACCACCGCTCACCCTTTTAACCACTTGCCCCAGATACGCTGCTCTGCCGCAGTGCTGAGATGCTCACAGACGTCTGTGTTTTGATCTTCATGACTCAGAAGGCCTCTGTGATGGTTTGTGATACAACTGTGAGTAGGCATGGCATTCTGTTTTTTTTTTTAAGATCATTGTGGACTCCACTGATTATTATCAGTGGACGACGATTATTGTCGTGTGTTATGCTAGTAGCGGCTAATGTATCCTGGAGGCTGCAGCAGAGATGAGCAGTGGGATTAAAGAGGTCAAGGGATATCACTTCTTTCTAACTCCACACCAACTGATTTGTTTCCTTTTGAAACTTGCAGTATTCAGCCACAACCAACTGAAGTGACACATGTAGCGAAGGGAGAGGGCAGTCACCCCACCCTGATTTGAACCCAGGTCTAACGGGTACCAAAACGTGCAACTGGACACAGCGCCAAGAGCCAGGCTCAGAAAGCTTTTCCAACGCTGCCAGAGCAGCTGTCATTACGCACAGCTGCGACTACTTATAGCTCCTGTATGAATAATTCATCACACGAACCTGTACCGGTGACATCTCAATAATCACCATTAAACAGCAGGAAGGTATTCAATCATTTGTTTCTAGTGCTCATACCGAAACAGACGTCCCT